GAAGAAAGACCTTCTGCCGAGGACTCTGTGCCAGGCAGACTTCATCCCAAGTCTATCTTCTATTACACCAAGGAGTTCAGTCGTGTGCTGATGGAAATTACCCAGCTGATAATTCCCTGTTTGGGTATCTGTTATGTGGGTATAATACCCAAATTTCGTGGGACTATTGTGATACAACAACCTTGGCAGTGTTGTCAGAGTAGTAAAACAAAACCATGTAAATTTGAACTTCAGATCAACACATAATTTTTGCTGTGACTATGTGTGCAATATTTGTACTAAAAGTTCGTGTGCTGTTTGTTTGAAATACAGATGGAGCTGGGTGTCCTGTATCCCCCTGGGAACTGGTGTAACTGAAGGACTTGCTTCTCCCTCCCACACTCTCCTCACCCACCAGTGAATGGAGGCAGCCAATCTTCTCAGTCCCTGTGTTCCTGCCCTTACCACAGTACTTGACAAATTTTCAAAAATAGCAAAATCATTGAAAAAGTGAATGAACAGAGGAACTGAGGCCCAGCTGGAGGTGAGTCATTAGAGGCAAAAGATGCTCAATTGGAAAGTGGCAAAGTGTCTGGAACTTATAGGCCAACGTTCTCTCACATCAAATATTTTTATTTACTCTGTGTGTGTGTGTGTGTGTGTGTGTGTGTGTGTGTGTGTGTATGAGAGAGAGAGAAAGGGAGAGAGAGAGAGTATACGTGTGTGTGTGTGCGTGGCCGTGGTTCGAATCAAGTCCAGGGCCTTGCATGAGCTTGGTGAGTGCTCTATTACTGAGCTACAATTGAAAAGACCTGTTCTTATTTTTAAATAAAGTATTATTAGTACCAAGTCATCAACTAAATAGCCTCTTTGGCACAATGGTTTAGGGCAGGAATGGCTTTGTTTTTTCCTGGAAATGTTTTTCTTTTTGACTAAAAAAAAGGATTTGTAAAGGTTTAAAATTAGAATCTTCCTGGGACTAAATACTCACAGGAAAATTTGAAATTTTTTAAAAATTCTTTTTTAACCATTTAAAATTAGCACTTGCAATTGTGGGGTTTTTTTCACTTACTTTTTATTGGTTATACAGATGAATGGGTCTTACTTTGGCAGATGTGTACATGCATGTTACAATATTGTATGATAAATTTTTGCTTTTTAAAAAGATGGTTGAATATAAGTTGTCAAACGTTTTTTAGTAAAACTATTTTTATATAAAAATCCTATATAAAAATCTTACCCCAATCCCAATTTTATATTTTATTTAAAAATAGAATGCTGTAAGCTGGAATAGGTAATCAATGTAAATAATGTACAATTTGAAAAACTCAAGTTCAGATTGAAGATTGTATATTTATATGAGTGTGTACAACTTGATATCATGCTTGTATCTTTGCCCTTTGCAGTTTCTGTCAGTTGGAACAAGGTCATGTCAACTCCAGCAATCAAACATTTCTGCATTTTACTTTAGTTGCAGAGTATTAAGAAAACCATGGCTCATGCAGATGAACTCTTGAAACTCGTAAGATTTTTTAAAATTCACCTTGCAAGCCAAGGATACTGTTAACAGAGGTTTCAACAAAATTCAGGTTCCCAGATTTGCCTGAAAGCAACTCAAGCGTTGCAGGGTAATGAATGTGTTGAGGGTGTGTTAGAATAGAGTCTGTGTGGAAGTCACTTTCCATCTTTAGAATCATGGAGCCTTGGATGGGTGTTTCCCAGCCTCCACTGCAGCTGCCCAGCCCCTTCAAGGTAGGTGAGCTCACAAGATGAAAGGATCCCTAGGATATGGGTGTGTGGGTCCCTAAAGAATGCCTGGGTGCCTCCTCCATACTTTCTTCTTCCTTTTGGAGGGAAGAACCAAGAGGTAGAAGTGAGTGCAGAAACAGCAGGTCATGGGAAGCCCTAGAGGACAGACAGACCCAAGGACTGGGAATCTTCAACTACAGCTCTCTTAGCTTCCTAACAGTTAATGATGTCGCTGATGAAATGTGGTGATCCGAAGAAATGTGATTTTGATAGTGTGTGATATATATTAGATGAAAGATCTGCCCAACTTAACCACAATTTTACAAATAAGCAGAGAAGGCTGCAAACTTGTGTGTGGATAACAGATGTATCCAAAGCAGATTTTAACCCAGCCTGAGTGCCAAAGGTCCACTCAGAGGTTCCAAATTCCACACTGCACTTGCCTGTAAGAAGTTTCCACTGGTCGGGTTCTGCTCTAGTGTTAAAGACGGATAACTCAGAGAATTCTATCAAATACTTGTTCCATTTCCAATTGGGTGCAGATGTAAACCCAGATTTTCTTCATATGCTTCAATTAAAACAATGTATTGGAGACTGGAGAAGCCAGACATCAGAGACTGTTCTCCAAAATGTAAAATGATGCCACTTTTCTCTCCCTCTCCATCTATCTATATAGATCTTATCTATCATCTATTTTTTTGTTTTGGAAAATAATTTTCTTCAAAGTGTGCTATGATAACAAATATTTTTATTTAAAACAATTATACACCAGTATGGTATTAAATGTCACTTTTTATCATTTCTTCACTCAGTAAAATTACAGGGCTTTTACTAACATGTCCTCTGGTCCACATTGGAACAAAAAGTACATTAGTATTTACATTTTGTTTTTTTACTTGGTTTTCAACTTGTAGTATAGTACATCTGTATGTGGCCATAACCTCTTGGGGTCTTCATTATTTGTATCAAGAGCACCACCTTGACCAGTCTACATCACCAACGGCTCCCAACTGTAAAAGGTCCATGCAGGACACACTGGCCTCTAACAGGCTTGGGGTTACTCACCAGGCAAATTTATAAGGCTAAACCCAAGAGTGCCCATATGTTTATGCCCAGTTGATTGTCTCGTGATCCATAGCATTGTGTAAACACGGTGACCAGCTGTCCATGTGACTTTCTTTGCAGCTGGGATGAAACCATAACATTTATGTTCAGGTTGCTCATGCACAAATGCACACGTCAGAGACTGATGGAAGTGTTCAAGTGCCTGGTACTTGAACATAAGCATTCGAGATGGGCAGCTGTTTGAGACCTCACAGGCACACAGGGGTTGGCAGTCCTCCAGTTGGGCTTCTCCATCTTTCCAAGCAGTCAGTGCCAGGGCTGGGAAGAGAATCCAAGACTCCCAACTTGGTCCAGCTGTCTTCCCATGATGCTGCTTCCTCCAGCTTGAGATCTGGGTCTCTGTGCCGTCCTAAGCTGCCAGCAGACCTGACTGCTGTCCTCCTTCCTTCCTCAATGACCCTTGACATTCATCACTGACACAGGTGGCCAATGAGATTGCCTGGGACCCTGTCAACTGCTCCAAGCTGCTCTGCGGGACCAGGGCGAGCACACTATCACCCTTGCCCTCAGTGCAGCTGGACAGGGGGTCCCCCCTCAGCACCTAAGCATGTGATTCCAGGTAACAAGCAAACTGCTGCCCACACCCCTCTCCTCAAATGAAGAGCTGGCGTCTCACTTGCTAGTTTTCTTTGAAGTTCATGTGTGCACAAACACCTCCCTCCCTCAAATGAGGCTCGTGGGTGCAAATCCCCTTTTATTAACACCCTCTTTATGGTACGGTTCCACTCCTGTGGAGTTGGTGCCAGTACACAACATGCCCCAATTCCTTTTCCACCCTTTCGCTCCCTGCCCCACCCCTTCATCCCCTTTGCACCTGAGGAAGATCTCCCTACTGTCTAGTATCTTGATTTTGCTCTTTACAATTCGTTTCTCATAGAACCCGTGTGATGTTTAAGCGTGTCTGATTTATTTCGCTCCAATCCCTTTTACAAAGCCCTGTTTTGCCGTGTGAAGGAATGAGACCACTTGCTCCCTATGGACCTTCGGCAGCTCAGAGCTCTTGCGTTAAAGTCACGAGCCTGTGGTGATTTCCATAATGGGGTCACTCTATGTACATTATTCTGTAACTTAGATTTCAATCATATATTTTGAAAACCATGAGCTTCCATAAAAATTCAACCTTTAAAAAATTAGTGTGTCAAACACATCTATACATCCATTGGTACATGTTGTTCCTGGGCTGTTTGTTGTATTTTTTGATTTTGTGAATGTTTTTCCTTCAATGCAGATTTAAAGTATTTATATAATCAAATGCCCAGTTATCCTTTATTCCTTGTCATTCTCAGAAACACTACTGCTCGCGCAACTGAACTATCTCATGTTTTCCCTGCATGGTTCCACTTGTTAAAATTTAGAGTCTGATGTAAGAGCAAGACAAGCAAGTCCAGTTTTCACACTGCTGCCCAGTTTCACCTACACCACTTTCTGGTATCTGGTTTGCCCACTGATGTGAAAAGCACACTGTCCCACACCCAGGTACTCCGCAGCTTTGCTCTGTGGCAGCCCCAGCCGTAGCTATTATACATTAACTTTTAATTTCCCTTTCTGACTTCTGTCGTCCTTTCACACATGAGCAGTAAAAGCCAGTAGGATTAAGCCCTTAGTAGGAGAAAGGCAACTGTACCGGGAGTGCAAATATGTGCATGGCTTTGTGATGTGCTTCCCACCCAAAACAGAGCCTTTCACTTTGCAATTATCTCTGGCTGCTTGGGAATTTGGTTTTCAACACGTTATACCTTTCTCAAAGGTAGGAACAGGAAGGCCAAAGACTAAGACTCTGAGAACCAGATGGGAGCTAGGCATCACCCGGTCTCACTTCACAGCGAATGAAGTGAGGCCCAAGATGGAAGGAGTGCTCTGGCGGCAGGGATGGGACTAGGTCCAGGAGGCTGGGCTTAACCTCTGGGGCTGTCTATTCACTAGGCGGTCCCCTCCCAAGCTGCAGCCTGGTGAGACCCAAAGCCACCATGACCGCGAGCAACCCACACCACGCACCCTGCCACACAAAGCCAGCCATCCACAATGAAGAGAAAAGATATTTAATTATTTCTCTGAAGCGCTCAAAGTGTTTTCACAAGTGCATGGGGGAGGGATTGTTCTCAGCCAACATTTACCAGTGATTCCGACACACGCAAAAAAACTCCAAATCACGGTGCTTTATACTTACTTTTAATTTCTGCACTGAAAAAGAAAACGCAGGTAAAAACAATGACAGATTAGATTACAGTGATTTCATCTTTGCCCTTAAATTAATCTTTGCTCTTGGGGGCAGAGACAGGAAAACATCAAAGCACAAAAATGGTGGCGACCAGGACACTTCGGTCCGGTGACAGAGCTCTGCACACCTGGACACGGTGCGGTTAGTGACCAGCTCGGGAACACGGACAGTCAACAGTTAAAGGTACATTAAAAAAAAAAAATCATCCCACAACTCCATCGTTAAAACCAAGCACAAAATCTGACAGTGAAATACATCCAGGGTTGACCGTGTCCCTGTGAGCGCTGGGGCAGCTTCCTGGAGGTGGCTGCATGTGCCCTGGGGCTCAGATGCCTGCTCTATGGACCACTGGCTCGCCCAGGGGCAGCGCCCTTCCCTCCTGGAGCAGGGACTTCCTGCCCAGCCAAAGGGTACCCGTGGCTCACTCCCTGCCCAGTCTCCCGAGTGACAGCAGCAGCCTCAGGGGGGCGGGGCTCTGTGCTTCGGAGGCTGGGGCCTCTGGAATGTTCCGCGTTCTCAGGTCTGCCTGGGCTGTGGGTTTTTAGTTACGCTCCACAAGTTGTTTAAGTGCTTGCTTTATTTTTTATGTGCAAACTGTTACTGTCTAAAGCTTTCAGAAGGTCATGTACAGACATGAGCACCCTGAAGAGAAACGAGGGTACCCGGCCCTCCTCCCTCCTGGGGTGGGGAGGAGCGGTTACAGAAATGGTTAGAGAAGTATGTTCCGCGGCAGTTCCATCTAGTCCCTGACTCGGTCCCTCGGGCGGGCGGGGCACCCTCAGTAGGTGATTGTCCACTCCTTGACAGAGGCGTCGTGGGAGGTCGTGACCAGCGTGTGCTCATCCAGCCAGGCTAGGCTGCTGACATGGTGCAGCCGGTGCGCATCTGGGCAGAAGAGAAAGGAAAATTTGGATCTCTTTGTTCTGTGGGTTGATGGAAAAATACAGTAAAAGACACATTGCTATTAATCTCCTTGAAAATACTCCCTCACTTGAACACTTAGCCTATTTATGACTTTCTGAACAGTTGCAAAAGTCCTCCCTTGCAACGGCCCTGAGCTGACCATGTGCCTCTCACCGTCATTTTGACACTGGGGAAGAGACACAGTCAGAGGCGCCAGATCTGGTGAACAAGGTGGGTGAGGGCACGCTGTCGTGTTTTTACGTGCCCGGCTTTCCGCTGGATGCAAACAGCAGAACGATCACACCTTGTGAAGACACTTGGCAAAGAGGACTTCCAGAAAGCGGCAAGGACGATGGGTTAAGTGTGTTAGAAGTGAAAGGAAGATTCGGGGGGGCTTCACGCAGTGTCTTTTTACTTACACACTCACCAAATAGTGTGATCACACCTGTACGTACACCCGGGACTAACAAGAGGAGGCCAGCAGGGCCTACATCAAACAGACCCCTGCCACTAACCACATGTGGCTGACCCCATCTCCTTTGAGGAAGGCTGAGAAAGGGAAAAGCGGGGTCCTCCTCAAGCTCCTGACCATGGGCGGCAGTGCCCTGCTGTGCACCCGGGAAGATGCAGCAGCATCCTGGTCCCTGTGTGCTCACCTGGCAGCACCTTTCCAGTCCCAAACCCCCTGCCCTGGTCCAAGTGAGTGAAAAATTTGTCTTCTCCATGTTTGAAGCAACAATATTCAGACACAAACAGATACACAATTGGTCCCTGGTGTCTCCATGGTTCTCACCTGTGGACCCAACCAGCTGATGGAAAACTGCTGAGGCACGCACGCACGCACGCACACTCACGGCATATATCTGCATGGCAAACCATGTGTCTAGTTGACGTATACAGGAGGATGTGTGCAGCTAATATACAAAACTGATGTCTGTTTATACAAAGGACTTGGTAGCTTTGAATTCTGGTATATGAGGAGGTCCTGGAGCCCATCCCTGGACCCAAGAGAAGACTGCAATGTCATGGGAAGTATTAAAATGAAGGGGGTGGGGACGCGACACACTGAGTAAGGGCTCAGAACAGAGTTGAAGACTCCTTTCCCCGAGACAAATCACACAATGGTGCCTGGATTCTAGGTTCCCCATCACCACCTCACTCTCAACTGTGACAATGGCCGGGACCTCTATGGTCTTTTCTTCACTGCCCCCTCCCATGAAGCCAAAGCACATCCCTGGTCCAGGAAGGGGAGCTCTTGTTTGCTCCCTGCCCTTCCAGCCCTGATGCCAGGAGCCTCAGCCAGAAGGTGGCGCATGGGCCTGGAGGCTGGGACTCATAAATCACCTGATGTAAGGTCAGCCTCGGTGCTGCACCCCGTCAACTCGCTGATTCTTTCTGGGCGCAGAGCTCATCCACAGGCATGAAAGCCAGGCTGGAGGCCAAGCCATGCTTGGCAGTTCCTGACCTCAGCACAGAGACGGGCTCCAACCTCACTCTCCACACCATTTGTTCCTGCTGTTACCAGAACTTGATTCAACCATGGATTTCCACACAGACCAGCAGAGCCCCTGGGAACCTGCTGCAGGCCTCCCCCACCCACCCTGACCAGCCCACTGGGAACCAAGGACACAGGCCAACAGCGCCCCCTCCCCGCAGCACTGGAATGGCTTCTGAGTCCTTTCTATACAGGAAAGGCTGCCTTCTGTGTGCAGGACAGGTGGGAGGGACCAGGCTGCAAGGGGAACCTGGCAGGAGTGGCAGGGTGGAAGGGAGGTGCGGGAACAGGTGACAGGTGCCGGCCCACACTGGGCCACCAGCCACACATGGTGCAGAGCCCTGCAAAGGAGCCCCCAGCATGGGTAGAAGGGATGAGATGCTGGGTGAAGTCAAATGTGCCATTGAAGAACACTTAACCATTTTCTTTCTAAAATGTAGATGCTCACGCTGGCCATCTAGTGGACACCACTGTCACAGGAAGGGCAGAAACTGGTCAAGGGCTGAGTTTGGAGCTGTCCACAGCCCTTTGCTACGCATGTCCCGTGTACGCAGAAGTGTGCCCTGCGCCCCCTGCCGGCCAGCAGAGCTCTTGCACTTGCAGGAAAGGAGAATGAGGGCCACAGGGCCAGGGCACAACCTCTAGGACACCCCGTGGAAACCGGCTCAGGGCCAATTCCTGCTGAGGCATGGGGGTGGGAGTCACCTTGGATCTTGACTCTGGTTTCCGGGTCGCTCAGGGTCCAGACGTACACCATCATATCCATGCCGCCAGAGGCAAAGTGTTCGTTGTCTGGTGACCAGGCCAGGCACACGATTTTTGCATGGTGTCCATAAAAGACGTTGTTCTCCTAGTTGTGGGTTGGAAACAGGCAGGAGGCTAGCTTACCTCGTGTCAACCCACTACCCCTCTGCACCGGGGTGGTGAGGATGTGCGACTGCTTAGTGCTTGATGCACGCCCAGCCACCCCTGAGCCTACTGGCACCTTGTAATTCCCCACAGGGCGCCTGCCCCTGGTGGAGACGAGATCACTGCTCACCGAATAGTCATCAGCAACGTTGAATACAGTGACCACCTTGCTGGCATCGCACACGGCAAGGAAGGCGCCATCGTGGGAGTAGGCCACGTCCGTCACAGGGCCCTTGGCCTCCAGGAGCTTGCCTTCATCCTTGAGTGTTGTGCCCAGGATGGAGTAGATGCGGACATTGCCATCCTAAGGGCACGGACAAGAGAGTCAGCCCCAGCATGCACGACAGCCCGCCTGAAGCTCCCTGCAACCGCGGCATAGAGGGCGACCCCGCAGGTCTTCATCAGCACGCCTGTCTGCTCCCTCTCAGGCAGGACTCGGAGGACTTGACCCCAGGCCTCCCTATTCTGATTCTGCAGGCTGGGTATGGTGGAGTCTATTTTCTGTGAGCAGCGGGTCAGCTCCTAGCCTGACCTGGGGACCTCACGTGGCGAGCCCCTACACACCCCAGCTCCACGGGGGAGTCTGCCCTGCCCATATCCTGCTGAGCGTCCGGTCACCTCATCGTGCTGGGTACCCCCCACCATTCCAGGGCTGCCATCCTAACCCCAGGGCTGCACTCAGGGCCCGGCCCCAATGAGCTGCACATGTGCCTCAACAGTGGCCCCACTGCTGGGACACCAGCATCGTCTCTATATGGTCTCAGGGCCCTTCCCGACCCTTCTGTAGCAGAAGCCAGGGCTCTGTGGTCTGCGAGGAGACATCACCCACAGGAAAAGCCTCAAATGAGGTCACTCCAAGGCAAGCAGGGAAAGAAGGAAAACCACAACCAAGTGTACACATCTGACAAATGAGCTACGGGCCACCTGCTTGTTGGGACCCTTAGTGTCACCAAGGCAAATGCAACTGTGTGTCCGGCATATGATGGGAGACAGTTTAAATGCAGCTGTGAGTCACAGAGACACCGGCCAGGACCACAGCAGGCCAAAGAAAACAAACGCCCACACCTGTGGTGCGAGCTGGGGTAGTCTGTCTGCCACCTGGGCGGAGGGTTTCCCCCAGTACCACGGGGTGGGAAACTGCACCTGTAGGTCAGCGACACCTGGGGACAGTGGCTCCCCAACCTTCACACAGGCTGCAGGGAAGGCTGGCCAGGCTGGCAGAGGGACTCCATAGTGGGCAAAGGTGTAGAGCTATTGCTGTCATACGTGTTAGGTGCTGTGGGCAAAACTCTACACATAGACCAGCCCTCGGGCCCGGATAGCAGTGTGGGAAGGTATTGGCCTCTGTACACAGCTGGGCTCCTGTGGGCTTCAGCGAGTGGGTGCAGGGGCACTGTGCCCTGGAGGGCTGGCCTGCACCTGCAGCCTGGCTCTCCCAGCATGGGGGACGGCGGGGGGGCAGGGGGGGACTCAGACGGCGCAACTGGCTCCCGCACAGCACGCACTGCTTCCCTGTGGGACTCAGGGTCTGCATTCCAGTTCAAGGGCTTCCCAGGCGAGTCCCTGCCTGCCAGACCCTGGGAGGATGAAACTCGGGGTCCACACAGCACTCGTGACCCAGCAGACTCAGCTGCTCTCACAAACAAGCTGCTGCTCTACCCAGTGGGAAAATCACCTTGTGGATGGCTCCAAGATAGAGCTCAGGAAACTGAAACCACCTGGTGGCTCCGTACCAAAAAGGTATTGCAAAAGCTCGTCACTGTCCTCCTGGCGCCTACGAGCCAGGCCTAGGGACGCGATCCTGGCTGGGCCCACTGCCCTCTCTGCTACTCCAACTACCCTTGGGCCTCTTGGTCTGAGGCCACGATGCCTCTTCCTGGGAGCTCCCTGTCCAGTGCGCACCGCCCTCCTTATTTGGGGTCTTGGGCTCCCGCAAATGTCACCCTGGCCACACGGCAGCTCAGCTAGCACAGAGCCCACAGTGGAGTCTCCTGCCCAGCCCCAGCAATACTGAGATGGGACAGCAGGCAGACACACCGTGGTACCAACCTGCGCAATGCTGCAGGAGGCCCCAGTGGAAGGAGAGCGCGGGGCGTGCCAGGCCGGCAGGGAGGGCCCCGCTCTGGGCAGGGGGTGCTGGGGCTACAGGCTGCTCCTATGACGCACACAGCTGATGGGGGCCCCACGTCACTCGGATACCAAGGGCAGTGGGCAGGGGGAAGAAAAGACCTTACCGCTCCCCCTATGGCCACTGTGTCCCCGCCGGGGTGCACTGCCACCACTTCGGGCTCGTAGCCAGGGCAGTCCAGGCTGAAGCACTTCCTCTGGTCCTTCAGCAGGACGATCTGCGGGACACACAGGTTCAGTCAGAGCAGCAGGCCTTCAGGACACGTGTCTGAGGAAGGCGGCGGGCTCAGCCCGGGTCACTGCTGCAGACCTGTTCCCGCACTAATGAGTAAGGGAGGGGGATGAGACCCGGGAACAGTCAGCGTCGTCACCTGGACCACAGCTACAGTCACCGTCACTACACTCACCAAACATGGCACCTGGCTCTCAAAGGCCTCGGGTTCCATCTCAAGACTGTGCAGTGAGTGCTGCATGGTGTCCCCAAAGGGCAGGGGCAAGGGCAGGCCAGCAGCACGAGATGGGGTGGGCATGACATGGCCCCGAGCAACACACAGGTCACAGGACAGAGCCAATGTCCTTCAGTGCACGGCTCTTGTGCAGTCTGGGGATGGTGCAGTGTCCTATGACCAAGTAGTCCAGCAGTCCAGCATGACCAGTCCTGTCCCCAGGGAGTGGAGGAGAAAGAGGAAGAGGAGGAGGAGGAGGAGGAGGAGGAGGAGGAGAATGAGGCAGCGGCACGGGCCCAGGGCATCATGGCAGGACCCCTGCAGGCTGCAGTCGCCCTGCCCCCTGCCCAAGCTGCCCGTGATCTTGAGTCCTGGGGACCCTGGCTGCCCGGGGCTCTGTCTTCAGAGCGCCGTGTGCCAGCCAGGAGTCCAGGCCCCAGAGGAGCTGCTCCCAGGCACGTGCTGACAGAAGGAGTTCTGGAGGTGGGCAGTGGCCTGACCCTCGTCTAGCCACCTACTGTTATGGGAAAAGCTCCAAAGTGGTCCCGGGTCCTTTTCCCAGGGGTGACAACCTAAGAGGACCCAGGCCTCCTGAAGATGGACTTCAACAGCAAGGACAAACACGGCCTGAGCAACAGGAAGCAAAATCAGCAGCGTGCAGCCGCTAGGACTGAATGCTGTGCCCTGCTGTGCTTCGCTCTGAGTGCATAGCAGGGTTCAGCTCCTCCACGTCACAGGGAGAAGACAGGGTACAGAGGGCTTTGGCCACAGGCCCAGAGCCCCAAGGTGTTACTAGAGCTCCCTCGAAGCCCAGGTCCTTGCCCGTGGCCACCACACTGGCCCTGCCTCAGGCCCACAATATGCACAAGAGGGTCCACACTCAGGGACTGCTCCTCTGTCTGCTCCTGGATCCAACCGACTGGCCAGCATGCCCCTGACCCGTGACAGCTCTGGCTCTGTGCCACGTCAGCAGCCGCTAAGCACACCTCCCGCTATCGGGTTCCACTTCTGTGTGCTGTGGGGTGGGCAAGTGGCAGCACCCCCGTCTGAAGGCATGAACATCAGAGGGAGCTGAGACTTGAACCTGGCTGTTCCCTCACCTAACATCCTGGGTTCCCTGCGGAGCTCCTGGCCCTAGAACCTCCACAGGGGCACCTGCAGAAGGTCCCCACCTGGAAGGGACCCAGATGGCAAGTCAGGGGAAAGGTGCACACGTACTTCCCACACTGGCCAGAGTGCTAGGGCACTGCCAGTGCCACCCAAGGGCAACCCTTGCCGAGTTCTCCTCCACTGCCCACCCAATCCAAGCCGGGCATCTGGACACGCAGGCTGGAAGGTCCTGTGGCGTGCACACGCGGCCCCAGGCCATCTGCCGCTATGCCCCACTGGTCATCCTGGCTATCTGCAGCCATGGCCTGGCAGAAGTTCTCATTATCTAGGACACAGAAATCCACTCTCCCTAAAGCAATTCATTCACAGACAAGGGAGGGGTGGGTGGATTCTCAAGGGCAAATTCTTTAGCAAGGTTTATCATTCGCATCACCCCTTCCTAGCTACAAAGGGGTACGCCCAGATCCCTGACAGCTGATGTGTGTGTCAGAGTAGAGTTCTATGTAACATGCGTCAGGTCAGGCGTGGATTCCAGGAAAGGGCCCTCTGTTCCAGAAATTCCAAAGAAAAGGTGTACAGACAACCCTGGCATGGGAGAGAGAACCCATCAGGCCCAGGGTCACCCTGTGGTCTTGACAATGTCAGGAGACGGCTCTAAGCCACATCCTCATCACCAAGCCCATGAGTCTGTGAGGGACGATGATTCTTAAGTTCAGAGACGGTGAGGTGAGACTTGAGGTCGCACAGCTCCAATGCGCAGGGCTGGACGATGACAGAACCACTGGCACTGGGCTCGATGTGCAGTGACAGAACCTAGCTGTCCCTTCACCAGCCAGACCATGGGCAGTGACTCACTCTCCTGTGCTCATCTCCTCCTGTGCCCACGGGGTAAGGCCCTGCCTGACTGGCGGGCTGTGGGACGCCAGGGGCCAGCACGTGGACGCTCTCGCACAGCACCGCCGCTGGCCACCGCTCCCATAGGCTGGTGTGCATGTAACTGCCACCCTGGGCCTGCGCAGCAGGAGGCACAGCCCCTCACCCACTGCCTCTTCCAGCCTGAGACCCAGCCAGATGCGTACCTGCCCGATGCACACGACCACGGCGTACCCTCTGGGGCCGACGGCCACGCACTTGGGTTGGACATCCAGCTTCACGACTCCTTGCCCACTGGTGAAGAAAACAGAGCATTGCCACACTGCCGTGGCTCCGGGTGGGTGCCTGACACACACGCACTTGCACTGGAAAACCACTACTTAGCTGTGCAGAAGGAACTGCACTCTATGCTGAGGGAGCGTTTGCAAAGACATGGGACGGAGATAAAGAATGACCCGCTTCTCTGTGGCACAGAGGTGGGGGGCGCAGGGGAAGGAGGTGGAAAATGGGGTGACGGGGACACTGCTGCTATGGATCCCCGGCAGGTGCCTGCCACTCCATCCCTCCATGGAGCACAGCTCCTATCCCGGCATCCTGCGCACAGAGAACTGGTCCTGCTCCCTCCTGACGGTCGGCACCCGAAGCCCAGCAGGGTAACTGCCAGGAATCTGCTACTCTCAAAGTGTGCAAACCATCTTACCATCTATCTCCGCTAATGCTACAAAACTCATCCTAGAATTTAGGTGCACGCATGTGCGTGCACACACTTCCTAAATACTGTCCATTTACAAAACTTCCACGCAGTTGGGCCAGACGTGGGGTCTCTATGCTTCCTGCATGGGCCCTGCCTGACATGACCAGGCCTCAGTTGCCTTTGTGGGAGCCTTGGGTGTGGGCAGAGCATGCGGCAATGGCCCCGACTGCCTCCAGGAAGACTTGCCAAGGGTTATGTTAGGGCAGGATGGCCAGCTGGGCATGGAAGCACATGCCTATAATCCCGTCACTCTGGGAGGCTGAGGCAGGAGATCACAACCAGCCTGAGCAACTTGGATCCTGTCTCAAAATGAACTGTAAGAAAAAGGCTGAGGATGCAGCTCAGCAGAAAGGCCCTAGGTTTAATTCAGTAAAATACAAAACAAACAAAAACAGAGAGTAGCCGTGTCACAAGGCATTAGAAGGAAGACAGCCGAGATCCTCCTGGGAGGCTGGACGGTCGCAGAGGCCCCATCACCCAGGCGAGGGGGGTGATGCAGTGAGTACCCCGCGTGTCAACTGTGAGCTGGGTGCCACGCCGCACGTGGACCTGGGACTCACAGTCTCCCAGATGGGACAGGTCCCTCAACAAACAGGGAAAGTGCAGCCTGGGGCTGGCAGGTTTGGTCCAAGGCTGCCTTGCATCCTCCTGCCCAGGACTTCCTGTCACTCACTAGCAGCTACTCCCCCAGCTCCAGCTCCAGCTCCTGGGGCTGCCATTCAAGCACCACAGCAAAACCCAACCGAGCAACAGCTCTGAACTGGTGCCTGCACGTCTACCTCACCCAAGGAGCAGGGTGCTGCTCGTATTGAGTGCTGCCCATGGCCAAGGCCTCACCTGACCTTCCCCTCTCCACTGTGAGGCAAGAGGGACAAGGAGAGACTGCCCGGCTCAGGGCCTGACACAGCAATGTTCAGAACGGGAAAGGGCGCCCGTCTGCGCTCCCACGGCAGCTCTCACCTGTAGTCCCGCAGTGCTAGGTTGGTGTACCGTACGGTGTCGTCCATGCTGCAACTGACCAGCTGTCCTGACTCATCCACCGTCATCCTGGACACCTGATTCGTGTGGCCTTTCCCAGAGAAGGAGTCGTTCTCACCGGTCTCCGAATCCCAGTAATGTAGGGCAGGGTTAAGAAGCGTGCAACCTGTGCAACCTTAGCCTCTTGGGCAAAGTCTGTGGGACTTTGTGGGAGCCTTGGGTGTGGGCAGAGCATGCAGCAATGGCCCCGACTGCCTCCAGGAAGACTTGCCAAGGGTTATGTTAGGGCAGGATGAATCAGGTGTCCCTCTGTGGGGGCTGTGGTCAACACCTGGGCCCAGGCAGCCCAGAGACAGCACAGCACGCTGAGGGTGAGAGGCACCCTCGCGGGCGTCCAAGCCCAGGACCTCAAAAAGCAGACGCAGCGGAAAGCCGCACTGTGGGGCAGGGGCACACGCCGTCTCCTGGTGACAGCTCTTCACGGCCCGTCCACCAGGTCACAACATCCACTGCCCTATGGCACTTCATGCAGATGAGCAGCCCCTGCTGGAAATGCTGCACAACCTCACTCTTGGGAATGGACATCAACACCACCAGTAAGTGGAAAACTCCACCTCTGCTTCTCGGGGCAGTGAAGTCACAGGCACTGAAGACACCCGGATGTAACCACCTTCAGGGCACGTATACAAGGTATGTACAAACAGGATGCACTTGGTGCTTAGAACTGGACAGCCCCATGATAGATTATGTATGTGCAAGTATTTTAAACTCTGAAAAAAAAAAAAAAAACACCCAAATCCCAAGAACTTCTGGTCCCAAGCATTGGAGGTAAGGGACGCCCAACCTTAAGTTGGAACCATTAAGTGAGCTCCTGCACGGACCAGGTCAACACAGCTCCCCAGACAACGGCTCAGATGATGCCGCTGGCACAGACTTTGCCCAAGAGGCTAACACTTCATTTCACCCTTTCTGTAACACAGTCCAGCATACAGCTGTCTGACCATCTGCCACGAGCCGGTTGTGCCCGCTTGTCTGCTGATGGCTGCCCCGGTGCCACCATTAAGGGCCTCAGGGGACTCGCCTTTCCAGGAGCCGCAGTGCGGACTCTGAGCTCAAGGATCCTGCACAGGGTGTGGCTTCAGTCATGAGATTCTTTCACATTAACAAATGAGAATCCTATTTCAAATGAAGGCGACTGTCTCCGAGGGAGGCTGACCCACTGGGATGACAGGGCAGACGGGCCCCACGGCCTCCTCTGCATCAGCCATGATACTTCTGACACGGCTTTTCTGCCTGGTCTCTGGGCCGGGGGTGTGTTGAGCCAGAGAGGGGGGCAGCCCAGCCCAGTCACAGGGAGGGAGCACTTGGCCAGGTGGGCAGCACGGAATGCACAGCGCCTGCCGGCCCGGCGATGTGCGCCCGGGCGCATGGCACAGGGAAGCACTGCAGACGCTGTCATCCGGGAGAAGTCCCAGGCCGCGTCTGCGAGGGGCCCCAGGCACCTCTGGAGATGTGGTCTCAGCCGTGGGCTCCTGGGCCAAGCGACCTGGGGGCAGGCACCTGTCTCTGAGCTTGTTTCTCATTTGTGAAACACGGAATTCTAAGACTCCAGGGTTCCACTGCTTGTGACAGGGACCAGGCTGGCACCCACTGCCATTTATTGGGACGACGGCAGCTCAGGTCAGAGCTGAGCCCCACAGTGGATACACAGGGAAAGCGCCTGGTGGGGTCAAGGCTGTGGCTTCCCCCGCCCTGGGCCCCGAGCCGCCAAGGCTCCCCATGTGATGGACGCCTGCAGAGCCTCGTGCCGCTTGGCCCCCAGCACCGTGGCGACAGGACAGTCCCCTCTCCTGCCAGCACCTTGAGTCAAAGGATATTAATGTGGCCGTCGTGGCTCCCAGAGTAGATGTAAGACTTGCCGCCGTTTTTGTGCACCGTCAGACACTGGATCGATTTACTGTGACCCTGTGAGGAGACGAGGGACAGGGTGAGCTGAGGACTCTGCTGCTCGAGCCACAGTCAGCCGTCCCGGATGGCCAGTCACCAACAAATCCAGCCACATGTGCCCTCCCTTCCCTGGCACCTGACCTCTGGGTGTGGACAAGGTCTGACCCACAGCCCCACTCAAACACCTAACTCACAGGCACAAGGCCTCTTCCACCCAAGTATCCCAGCACTCTGACATCCTGCCCCAACCTCCCCAAGGCTGGCAATGTAAGGTCAGGCACGCACAGTTGGTCTACAATCAGTCATGTATCTCGGAGTAAACCTCTTCTGCGACTGCTTCTGGACAGAAAGCCCTGCAGAGAGGCGTCTGGTTATACCTTTCCCCTGATGCCCAACAATCTCCATTCTTTATCAGCAAACTCAACTGTCAGTTGGCCAATTCATACTCTCCCAGAACTTTGCAGCGTTCTGTGGCATTCATGTGTTGCCATGAAACGGCATCTCCCCTCAGGAGAAGGGACACAGAGCCAGTGCACACCATGTCCCAGTAAGGGGTACTCCCAAGACAGCACTCCCAGTCCTGCTACTACTTAACATGGTCCCTGGGCTAGCCCGGACAGTAAGAGGACTCGCGTGCCACCTCGCTGGCTTGGGACCTTGTGAGAGACGCACGCTCTTTGCCTGCAGCCATGAAGTCACCAGTGTCCCTGCTGAGGTGGGGGCGTTTAACAAGCTGGCACTCCCGGGTGATCCCCATGCACCTGAAGGTCATCCCTGGAGCCCCTTGACTGCCCCCCTCTGGACCAGCCAGGAAGTGCTTTCTGAAAGTGCCCAGGTGAGGCTCATGTGCAGCCACGGCTGGGAACCACTTTCTCCTGGCTCCGGCTGGTGGCTCAGCAGCCTCTGTAGCCTGTGGTCAGGCCCAGCCACCTTGCATGACCCACACCAGTGTGACTCAGGTAGCTTTCTCCTGTAACAAACACAGGAGCTCACAAAATGCCAAGCCGACCTAGCCAAGCAATGCTAGCCTGGTTGCAGTGAGCCGCAGAGACATTGCTAAGAGCAGACACGCACAGCCAGGCTGACAGACACAGGAAACAGACACTGCTCTGCTGCTGGAGCTAGGCCTCAAACTGTGGAATTTCCAAGCATCTCACGTAGAGGCCCAGAGCACTGTCCTTCGAGATGCCCCCAACTGCCCGGGCATGGCCTTCTTGCTGCCAGACCATGCACTTTCCCTCTCACCGCCCTCACCCTGCTGCGCAAACCCCGAAGGCCAGCAGGCACCTCCCCCAGGTCCCCTCTTCTGGTTGGGAGGATCTTTCACTACCTGGCCCCAGGGTGGGCCAGGCTCACCTTGATGACCCGAAGGGGCTTGCTGGGATTGTTCTTGTCCAGGTAGTTGATGAAGCCTGACAGGGAGATGCTCAGGAGGTGGTCCTTCTGCCACAAGCAGCCCAGCTGCTGGTCCAGAACAGTGGAGCCCATGGGAAACGTGCTGACGACTGAGTTTGCGCTGACATCCCAAATCTTGGAGGATTTGTCTCCCGAAGCAGAAAGCAAGTGGGTGCTATCAGGACTCCAACTAATCTGTGCAAACAAGACAGGCCTGTGTCGGAGGACTGCAGAGGGAGGAGACCAGAGGGCGGCCTGGCCGTAGCCTGCATTTTCCAGCAGAAGAAAGCGAAGCCTGAGGCGGCCATGGGATGTACCCAGTGCCCAGGCTCCTGCCATCCCATGGTGACCCTGAAGCCTGGAACCACTCCCCAACTCTTAGTCCCTCACTTAAAATTGTTCTCTAACTTTAATATTGATGGCTACAAACACAGACTTGGACAAATTACCAACAGCACACCACAAGACAAAGCTTTGTACTCACAGCATAAATCCCGCCATCGTGAGCCTTGCTTCCTCCCAGAGCACATATTTTCTCTCCTGTCTTCCCATCGTAGATGAATATCTTCCAAGAAACAAAGACATATGAGTATCATGTGTCTGGGTGTGTGGAGGCCCTGGGCATGCCTTTTCTCCAGCGGTCACAACTCGACTCGGCTTCCTATGCTCTCTAAAAGGAAAGCCTAGCAGCCCCAGTCGACTAAAGGATTAGGCATTGGCCTCCTAAAGGGAAAGCTTGTGTCCGCCAGGCTTCGGTGACATGCCCCAGAGGTGTTAAGGAGGGAGAGCTCCCGAAACCTGCCCACCACCCCTCCACCCCTGGCTCTTACCTGGCCGTCAGCACTGGCCGTGGCAAATCTGTTCCCATCAGGGGAGAATCGCACGCAGTTAACAAAGCGGCCGTGGTCCTGTGGGAAAGAGGACGGTCACCCACCTGCCTGAACCCCACGGCAACCTCCACCACTGGCTACAGCAACAGGCAACTTAGGAGGTTAGAGGAAGCCACACGGTCCCCTGGAGTCAGTTTCAGCCTCCCCGCCCTGCCTGCTGCCCTCCAGCTTTTCTCCTGTTTTGCATTCCTCTGCAATCAGACGCTGCCATCCGCCTTCTAGCTCCTGAGGAGCAGAAATCTCCAGCCTTGAGCCTAGACCAACACTGCCACAGCCAGAGCCATGGGCATCACCATGGGCCCTTCCCAGAGACCTGAGGCCCCAGCAGAGGAAGGCAGGAGGTGCTGGAGTAGGGGCCAGGGGTTTGCAGAACAAGTAAGCGACTTGTCCCTAGCAGGTATGACCCACCAATGACCCACCGAACTGCATCAGTCAAAACTCACTTTCCAAACTGCATCTCTGCCTCTTCCACTATCCTAACTGCAGAAGCTTCTGCCAGTGTCACAACCTGTCACTTTACCTCTGGGGGCCATGGCGAGCCTCCAGGCCAACTCTTTACAGGAGAGCAGCAGGCGCAGGGAAGCTGCGAAACCTGAGCAAGCCGGCTCTAAGAACCCAGCTAGAGTTTCCTGCCCAGAGCTTCACTTCCTCAGGGGCACTGCTCCTGGGCCCTGGCAGGTGCTGGGCAGGCCAGGGCTTCTCTGGCCAGGAGCCACCCGGGTCAGGTCTCTAAAGCTGCAGGTAGACTGCTACCCATTCTGAGCCGTACAGAAACTCACTGCAGAAGGCCTCCTGTCCTGTGCGTCAGGGACGAGGCTCACCCCACTGTTCCCTTGAGTGCTGCAGGAGCCAGCGGGGTGCAACGCTGGGGGAAGGGGGCCTGAGACAAAGCCCCACAGATCGCACACCCATCTCCTTCCAGTTGAGGAGCAAGACAAGATGCAACCGCATCTAGACTAAGCATCCAGTGTCAGCTCACCTGGGGTTCCGCTGCCTGGGCAGGGGTCACATGGTGCTTGAGAACGGGGAGGCCGAACTCACTCATCCCAGTGGGGCAGAACAGGGAACAACAGGGCGGCCGAGTGGGCTGCTGACTCTGCTTATATACCGAATATGCCACAAACCAGAGACTAGCTACTGACCAGGCCTAACCAGGGACAACACCTAACTGTGCTGGTTCCCTGGGGACAGGCATCGACACTCCTACTCCAACCCCAGAAGCAGCATGCCCCTGGGAAGAGACCGGACACCCAGGACCTGTGACCCTAAGCAGGTCTATGGCCTGGCTCAGAAGTGTCCACTTCATGGGCCTCTCCTACGGGGCCCACAGGGGCAAGGCCTGTGCCCAGGAACACGCAGCTGTTGGAGGGTGGCCAAGGGAAGCTGAGGCCAAGCAGACGCCCTCAAGTGCCTGGGGCTATGGAAGCCTGGGTCTGCTCCCGAGCCTGCTCCTGTCACTGTTTCCTGCAGCTCAGCCAAGCACCAGGAGTCCAGACGGGTAGCAGACTCACTTCTGCTCCCGAAATAGCCCCTGTACAGGCAGTGAGTGCCAGCAGCCCATTAACCAATGAAACGAGGGCTAAAAATAGCGCTTCCTGCAGGGAGCCCAGCTGCGCACATAGGGGGCTGTGGGTGTCACTTCCAGTCCCGATGATCTGCAGCCTTGCATGCTACCTCCTGACCAACCGGCCACCTCGTGAGCTGTCCCAGCTGACCAGAGGGTCATGGTGCCATCCTGAAGTCCCAGTGCAGGCCGTCCTGTGTGGATGCCCGAACATGGGGGTGCCCCACTGCTGTCAGCTCGTCCTGCTAAGCCCACAGCCCTCTGGCTCCATGCCTTCTTCCTCCAGCAGCATCACTGCCCTCAGCACAGGCTTGAACCGCTGAGGTATTAAGGAGCCTCCCAAGGCCATGTCACCAACAGAAACAGGGGCCCGGCCTCCAGGTGTTCTGACTCCAGCCTGCACGCTCCCTGGCTGGCTCAGGTGTCCACAATCCCCAGCCTCGGTGGCTGCTGTCTCCTCCCAACCCACATCCCTTCCGCCGTGCCCACCAGCTCTGCCCCTCCCCCAGCAAGTGCCCCACAGGGATGGATGCTCCTCAACATTCACCCTTCAGTGCAGACGCCGGCTCCTTCCTCCTGTCCACCAGGCTGCTTCCTCCCCGCCAAGCTGCTTGAGGGCAGCACTGTGTTCTTCACCCGCTTCAGCAGGGCCAAGAAACCCGAAAGAGCCCTGCCCGGCTGTGTCTCCCAACCCTAGACAGGTCAGCCAGCACCACTTTTCTCCGGAGCACAAGGGATACAGCCCTGCTGTCTGCCTCAGGTGCCAGGACTCACAAGAAGAGGCAGGTGCACATTTGTCTTGCTGAAGCCTCCTGGGGGTAAAATGCCCCTGCAATGCCTGGCCATTGCACTTGCTAAGTAAGACGTGCAGTGACCTCCAGTTCCAGGTCGCATGGCCACATTCTGGGCCAGCCCTCCATGAGGGAGTGGGCTTCCTGCATTCACTGTTCCCAGCAATCTCTGCTGGACACAACCCGCCCCACCCAGAACACGCCTGGGAGCCGGATGCATGGAGAGCCCTGAAATCTTCAAGCAACCACCGCCCACTCACAGAGGACAAGAGAGGCTGCAGGCACAGGAACTGGCCCTCGGCCACGCCAGACAACCGAGACACCGGTGGGACTGTTACACATCCGGATGTATCTGTCAGAGGAGGGCTTGGCTCGGGGCCGGGGGGCGGGGATGAGGCCACACCACTCCCCTCCTGAGGCCACAGTCAGCACTTCTCTGAGGGTCTAAATCTTTGTCCTGAGCAGCAGGGGTGGTGATGGAGATGGTCCCTAAACCTCACCTGCCCCAGACTCAAGATTCTCCAGCGATCCCAAGGGCCACGTCCTCCAGACACCCATGACATCTAAAACGTGGGTGCACGGGGACAGGGTGGTGCGTGGCCCACTCCAGGTAACAAGTTTCTCCTTCCCTACCTTCGCTGTGCACCAAGCCAGGCCATGGCCCGAGGTCCGAAGGGCACAAGCCAAGACTCTAGTTCAGAGCTCTGCACAATGGGCCGCTGAATAGAAACGAAAGCACCACAGCCCGCGAGCTTAGGCCAGCAGACAAGAGGTGGCTCCCCATGACCTCAGGTCCCTCCGACCTGCTGCTTTCGTGCCACTCGGGCGCAGCCTCAGCAGGGTCTTGTTTCAGCATGCGCTGGACTGGAATTCCCAACAGCCTGCTCTTTTCCTGGGTGACACCTGTGACTGGTGTTGTCTCCTCCCTGCCTGCGCCCCTCCCTCAGGGCCACTACCCACCTCTGTGGCTCAGACTGGGGTGAGCCCCAGGTGCCAGGGCTGCATGGGCAGGCAGGAGTGGTGTGGGGACAGACGGACACAGGACAGAGCTGCCTGTTCACTGCTCATCCCCGGGTAAGGTCCCAGCAGAGCTGCGCAGGAGGCAAGGCGGGCCCGACCCCCATGACTCACGGGGTTGGGAATCTGGGACAAAAGACTGCTACTGCCTGGATTTCACGATGAAAAGAACTTAATTCTCTTTCAAAAAACCCCACCCACACGCATTTTAATTTCCACAAGAACATTCACGTCCCCAGCTTTGACATCGGGAGGACCCCGCAGTGCTCACAGGTGGTCAGCACGTATCTTCGCACGCCCACGCCCCGACCCTCTGCCCAGCTGTCTGTGCACCTGCCCTTTCCCGGGCTTGCTGACCCATGGGCGACAGGAAGGCGGCAGGTCGAGAGCACGATAGGCAGGAGGACACAGCCCAGGCCTGTGCACACCAGCAGCCACACTGAATTCTGAAGGTCAGCAACACCTAGCAGCAGGCACTCTGGGACGGCGGGGTCTCAGTGCCCCCCTGGCCCTTCTATGCCAGGCCAGCTGAGCCTGTGAGATGCTGTCTGGACAACATGTGGACCTTGACACTCACCAGTGGCTCAAGCGCTCCCCACTGACGGGCACTGGGTCGGGGAGGGTCACCATCACCCTGCTTTCTGGAAACCTAGAGCACACCTACCGAGCACAAAGGCAGCAGGGCCAGCCAGTCCGGTGCCACGTGGCACCCAGAGTCTCTGGTTCTAGGCTTGCAACCCTTTCCACCTCTCCAGGTCCTCAGGACCCACAGGTGTGGGCGGCAGTGCCCACACTGTGGAGGGGCCAGCTGGGCAAAGCTTTCTACCTGACGCTGCATGTCGGTGCTGCCCGGGAAGACTACATGGAGAGTGGAAAGGAGAGAGGATGTTCCACCCAAGCCCCCAAGCGAGCTCACACAGGACGCAGGTGCGCAGAACACAGGCTGGGGCTGCTGTCTGCGTCAAACCCTGGCTCCTCCGTGCACCCCAGCTGCTCTGTGCTGTGTTCAACCCACACTTGCAAATGAAAGGTCCTCCCCAGGGCCAAGAAAAGGACCCTATCTTCACACACCCAATGAAGACCAAAGGTGTCCAAGCAGAGCCTGTGGAGGCCTGGGCAGTGGAGACAGGGTCCCTGGAAGCAGCCGGGACAGCATCCAATTGCCCCAAACCTCTTGCCCTTCCTGCCTCCCTTGGGTTCATAGGAGGTTCAGGCCCGGACTTTGCTGGCTCAGGGTCGCCCCTCCCGTGGTCCGCAAGACTTTGATCCACTTAAACACTGACCTTGGACTGCAGCCTTCAACAAAGCTCCCGAAATAGCCAAGTCTCCACTCCCTACCAATTAGGCGGCGCTACAGCAGACAGAGCTGAAACTACAGGGTGTCGGCAGAGGCCACCCACAACCTGCTTGGCCCGAGGCCCCAGTGACGAAATGCAGCTATTTGTTTCCCCGACAGGGAATCCCTGGGGAGCTCACCCGTCCCCGAGGCCAAGTGCCTCCTCAGGAAGCTTTGCCCACTGCCGCCTCCGAACTCACCCTTTCCAGCAGTGTCACATCTGCTCCCCAGGACCGGCTTTGCTGTCACTGAAACAAGCAGTGCTCGGCGTGCCACGCTAAGGACACTGTCTCATGGGGTCCCGAGGCTCAGACACTGGCACCACTAGTGCTCCTGACAGAGAATGACTGCTAGGCCTCAGCCGGCCCAATCCCTGAACCCAACCACCTCCCAAGGACATGCAGCCCACGAGCACCCTTCCTGGCTACCCCCGGCCACTGCATCTGCTCCTCTTCATCATGGGCACTCATGCCAGGGGCTGCCTCCACAGCAGTGCCCAAGAGCACCAGGAAAGCCAGAGCATGTACAGCCCTGCCGGCTGGCGCCCCTACACAACAGCCTGGCCATCAGGGACACAGCCTAGGGCTGGGAAAGGGGTGCTGTTCACAGCTCAAATCCCTGCCCAGTATCCTTGATGCCAAAGGCGCCCATCCCTCTCCCCAGCATGCCATGGGAAAGGCCAGACCAAGAGCAGCCCATCAGGGAGGAGGAGATGGGGACCCGAGATCAGACGCTCACACGGAAGCCTGCACAGTCCTCCAGGGCACACGGGGCACCTCCCCTCCACAGACACAATGAGTCTGATCGATCCCTGACCGTACCTGCGTGCTCTCACTGTCTCTCAGCAGAGGGACCCGAGGGCGACCCAGGTGTCCCGAAAGCCATTTTCCCTGCCTCGTTGGTAGCTCAACAGGCTTGAGCAGGCCCCCAGGGCCTAGGATCCTCCTCTGGTTACATGGCATGGGACATCATTGCCTTTCATGCCCTGCTGGACCCCGGTGCCCAGCCCCAGATCTGGCAAACACGTGACAGGGACAAGTGTGCTTTCCACCTCTTCCGACATTTCCCCCACCTGACACCACTTTCTGCCTTCACATCATGGCGCTCTGACCCCCCACATCCATATCTGGCGTCTCATACAAACCTCAAAGTTCACCCACACTGCCCTCCGAGAGCAGCCACTTACGCCGATGGTAAACTTGAATTTGAACGGAGGCCCCTCGAAGAACGCGGCGCAGTTATCATCACTTCCCGTCACCAGCCGGTACGGCCTGGTCTGCTTGATGTCCACGCTGTTGATGACTTTGTTGTGTCCTGTGATCTCACCCACGGAAGAGCCACTGTCCCACAGAAAGACGGCTCCGAACCTTTACCCATGAGAGGAGGCAAACAGAAAACATCAATATGGGAAGGCAGGGGAGAAACTCGATGGCTGAGGGCCTGCGCACAAGGCCAGGGGGACGCTGACACAGCAGGCCCAAGATGCTCAAGGGACAGCACTGGAGAGCGTGTGGATTCCAGTCTATCAGCTGTGCGCTGAAGGACATAGCACGAACGGGAGCTGCGACATTCTCCGGAAGGGGCGAGTGATTGCCATGTGGAAGGCATCCCAGAAGCAGCTTTGGGGACTTCACAGCTTCAACACTTTCCTAACCATTGGGGCAGAGGCCAAGAAAGAGACCAAGTACCATCCCCTCCTAGAAAGCAGACACTTTGCCTTAACCCCGTATAAATAAGCTCAAGACAAAAGGAGGACTTCAGCAAATGGGAAGGGGACCAAGAGATGGATGGAGGGGGATAAAAGGAGCATTCAGATGCGCTGTGTACATGCTCCAGAGCCCCACAACGAACATGTCATTATGTACAGCAAACAGGTAGTAATAAAAAAATGAAAATAAATAGTAATGTAACAAAAAAAGTGTAAATCTACTCTTTAAGTTTTCTTTGCCAGCGAATAGAAATGGAATTGTTGGAGCAGTAACTACAAACCACAGAATGACCAGTCCCCAGAATACGTGCTATGAAAGATCAAGGGAAACTGGCTTGCGGCTGTCAAGGGCCTGCAGGATGCTATGATGGACCCCGACTGCGGGGAAACAGACCAGGGGCCCAGCGGAGCCTGCTGGTCACGAACCAAGAGCACAGACAACTGAGAGCACAGCCTCCATAGCGTGCGGCCTGTGCAGGATGCAGCCACTCCTCAGGGGACGTCCCCAGCCAGAGAAACTGACAGCCAGCCCCGCTTGCAGCCTTGTGGTCCCAGCTGGAAGGGTCTCCCCGATTACAAAGGCACATCCTGCCCACTTGGTCCTTCCCACTGCCTGCGATGGGGGCGGGACAGGGAGTCCCAAGAGGCGAAGGACCAAGAATGTCAGAGAGAGGAACAGAGAAGTGCCTTAGGTCTCCGTCACAACCTCAGAGGATGCAGTTCCCCTTGTGTGTGGCTGAGCCAACCCTAAGGGACTGGGGGATCCAGCCAGACTCACACCTGGGAAGGCAGCAGAACCACCGGGAACTCAGCTGGCCCAGATCCTCCTGCCCACCCCCTCACCAGGGCCAGGCCACAGGAAACGGGGCAGAGAGGGGTGAGGCGAGCAACTCACTTCTCCCTTCCTTCCCCGACCACGGCGATCCTCTTACTGTCTTCAGTCCAGGCAATGTCCTTGATCTTCCCGGCAAAAGGCTGATATTCATACTTGAGGAGGTGTTCCTTCTGCGTAGTATCCCAGATCCTCAGCTTCCCGGAGACATCTGCAGCACACCGGTGTGCAGGAGAGCCACACTTCACCACCAGGCCAGGGTTCAGGCCCAGCCCCATCCCAGCACCGAAACTCGGCCACTCTCCATCAGCGTCGCCTGCGCAGGCTGCTACTTTGACCCCTGCACCTCACCTAGACGCCAGATCCAGCTTAGGTCCGGGAAAGGGACCCAGGACACCAAGACACCAATGCACAGCTGAGCAGTTTCGCATAGTGGTTCCTAGGGGATATGGCTGGGGTGCGGACCCGGGACACCTGCTTCACCCTCAGATGGGCAGCACTGTAGCCCTGGGCTCCCAGGCACCTGGGGTGAGGTGTGACCCAGCCCGCTGCGCCCCACAGGCCTGGCACCTCACCCATCACCCATGCAGATGGGCGTTCCGCACTACGAGCCAGGGCTGAGTACGCCGCTCCTGAGAAGACAGGGCGGGGGCGGCGGAGGCAGGAGGGCTGCACACAGCACGTGCAGCCAGAGTGAGTTGTAAAGAAAGGAACGTGGGGGGGCACGCTGCCCCCGCAGACTCTGCGCCAAGCACCAGCCTGACACGCCCCTTTCCAGAGAAGCGCTGTGTGGGCGGCAGAGGGAAGGCATGCTCACACCAGCGCTGAGGTTTACAGCTTCTGCTCTGGCCTCCCAAGCAGGCAGGTGGGCAGTGGCCTTTCCTGGTGTTACGGAAACGTATTTCCTGTGCCTAGACGTCCCCCCTCAAAGCCTCATGTCCTTTTAGATGGGGCGCTTTTGGGGGCAGCTGAATCTAGAGTATGTGATTGATTTATGGTACAATGCCAGTATTAAGGGTGCTGGGCTTAAGGGTGGGTGATTGCTGAATCAGTCCAGTGACTGGACCGGCACCAGCCTAATCCTGGTAGACTGGATACAATATAAGGGATGGAAAAAGGCTTTCTGCTGTGTTTCACCACCATGAACTGTTGCCCTCTGCCACGCCACCCTGCCGTGCAGCCAGCCGAGTATGGACTGCCACCTCTGCCTTTGCACTGGCACACCCAACCACTCCTAGACAGGACAGGGCCGCCGCCCTGCCCTGCGACTTCCCTGGGCTTGTCCACCCAGCGCTTCCTCCTGCTGGCTCTGGCTCCATGACAACCAAGCAGCCATTTCTCCACTGCCCCCCGGCAGACCACCAACCTTCTCCACCAGGCCCTGGCTGTGCACTTTATTCTTTCCACTGGGGGAATCCTGGGGACCAGGCACAAAGCTCTGGTCTGACCAGAGCAGGCGCACAGCAACTGTGCCGACCAAGGGCCTGCCGGGTGCCCAGGCCTGTGCTGAGTGCAGACTAGGTGCTCGCTCTGCAGAGGGGGCTGGCGGGGAGACGCTGCAGCACACCCCCAGGACTTGCTGCCTGCAGTGTGGGGACAGAGTGATGCTGGGTGGGCTTCCTCCCAGGCAAAGCTGTCAACACGGAGATAGCCATTCCGAATGCATCTACATAACCCCTGCACTCCACACACTCGGGGCACACACGGGCTACCTGGCAAACACCTCAGGGAGCAGAGAGAAGCAGCAGCACAGGGCGAGCGGCTCTCCATCCATGCGGAGACCTCTGCTCACGTGCACCCTGCAGCCCGTCTTTCCTCCCCTTTATCTCTGGGCACGAAGCCTTCCTCCAGGAAGCCTGGTGTCACTATCTCATGGTCCCTTCGGTACCCAAGCACGCACCACCTGGGAGTCACAGCTGGGGGATGGAGCAAGCAGACAGGCTGACATAAAAATCACGGGAGGAGGACGGCGCTGCTGCAGAGCCGAGCTGCTGCTAAGCTATCGCACAGAGGCCTGGGCTCCTCCAGGCAAGGCCGACCACCTTGCTCACGCTGGGGCTGCCCGGAGCGCCCCTCCTGCATCAGCCCTTCCACAAGGTCCCGTCCTACAACAGCCCTCAGCCAGAGACAGCATCCACATGCCAGGGGGCTGGGGTGCCGGCTGGCAGATACTGCAGAATTCCTGAAGCCCTGGGTGGGCCGCTGCTGCCACGGGGCAACAGGTAACCTGCTGCATACCAGGGCAGCCTCTCTGAGCCTCCCGCCCCTCACCCTCACTGCAAACCGTACACGCCACACTATTTTTAGCTCTGCAGCAATGCTCGTTGTAACTCTGAATCCCTTTGCTCTATTCAAAGAAACAGATCAGAAATATAAAAACGCCACGTCCACCCAAGAACTCGCCTGGTTCCCTCACCAGCTCGTAGCACTCTGAAGAGCACGTCAGGTGGACGGTCACATATACACGGGACTGTCCCTTGTGTCTGCCTCCATTACAGCAAAGGCCACTGACTTTTGTCCTGTGGGGCAGTCCCTGGGGACGGTTGGCCAGGCCTGGGCTGGCAGCCTCTCAGCTAGGCACAGCAGGACAGGAGCCCTGCCAAGCTGGGCAGATGCCCTTGCCAGGTACTTTTCACTAAGAAAATTTCTCGGAGCACCAGGCTGTGTTAAACACAATCTCTGTAAGCACCTGGGCCAGTTTTGGGGGCTTAATGAAGACGCATTGTTGGCAAAGGGGGAGAACTATCACAGGGCTTAAACAAGCCACGGGACTAGAGTAAACCTTACAAGGCCATCAGAGAACCGAACACAAAACCCTCAGTGCCCACTGCGTGTCGTACTCCCCGGCCAGCCCGACTGCAACTGTGGTGGCTGTCAGCCGATGCCTCTCCCCTCCCTGCCTTTCCACATAGTGCAGTGCTTTGGTTTCAGCACTGGATGGCGTGGTCACTCTGGGCTGAACACCCCTCTGTGCAGGACCCACACTCGGCACTGTCCACCCACCGCCCCTTGGGGGCTTCCCCACCTCCTGCAGCTCCAGCTGACAGAAGAGAATCCTAAGGCTCCAGAAAGTCAGTTATGCAGTGGTGGCTGTGCAGCCTGTAAGGGACACTCTGGGTCCCTCCCAACCCTTGGCCATGTCTCCCACACACAGAGCAGGCCCCACATTCAGCACCCGGGGGAGACAGGGCTCAGCCAGGGGGCCGTGAGAATCTCCTGAGAATGAGAACGAAGGAGTACAATGCAGGGCGTGCTACTCCACCTCCCGTGCCTGTCTTGTCTGTAAATGGCCAGACCTCAAAGGATTAAGTGAGTAACGCTTTCACACATGTAAACCTCAGGCCCCTCCTCTGCCTGGATTCCTACGGAGCCAAGAGAAAGCCCAAGCTGGAGAGGGCAAAGGCCAGTCCTCAGCTCCCTCTGTGAGGCCGGCTGGAAAAGGAGCAGCGGAGAAGCGGGACACAAACGCACATACACATGCGCACCCCCCCATGCGCTCGCCTCACAGAGCTGCCCACGGCGCCCAGGAGTGGCTTATGCCAGCCGAGCTGGAGCCTATGGGGACACTGTACACCTGCAAGTGCGCTTTCCACAACCAAGGCCAGGTCTGCAAAGGGACACGTTTTGGCGGCTTGCATTTCCTTTACACACTGCACATCAGGGCCCTTATCTCTCCCCCACGCCCTCCTTCGCAAGCCTGGAGCCAGGCTGGGCTTCCGTCCTGGGTGCCACCTGGGCCACAGCCCCTGCCCAGGAGTCTGCTCCACGTTACCTCCAGAGGCCACGTAGAACCCGCTGGGCGCGTACTTGGCCACCACCACCTGGTGCGCATGCTCCGTGTAGATGTCAGCAACTGCAGGGTTCTGCGGGGAGAAGAGCGAAGGGTGAGCAGGAGGAGCGAGGGGGCAGCCGGCCAGGGCGAAGGACGCAGGCCAAGGCCTGAGTGGACGGTCACAGGTAGGGCACCCACACCTCCCACCACTGGTGCCTGCCCACTTCTCTTAGGTGGTAAAGCTTCAGGGAACCCTCCCTTGCCTGCTTTCTTGTCCTTTCCTCAGTACAGAACACACGTGTCTGTGGAACGCACCCATGATGAGAAGGAAAGGGAGTGAATCCCGTCACGCTCCTTCTCCTTTCTGGGACGCTGTGGGTCCGCAGTGCGTTTATTCTACTCCTCTACCTCCACTCTCCCGGGCCACCTCCCACAGCAGCCCTGAGACCCCACAGCCGCCTCCACTGTCTGAGGGCCACAGCTCCACGCTCCACGCTGAGGGTCAGGAGCAGAGCAGGCTGCTGCTGGGGGCCCAGGAAGAAGTGTGGGCTCCCTACGCCCGCAGTGGTGCAGATCAAAGGCTGGCTGGACCTTGCGGCAAAAACAGCGCCAGCATCTGGGGCTGGGGACATCCCCATGCCTCAGCAATGAGTCTGACCCAGTGCTTCACTAAGAGCAGACCTCTGCCCTCCTCCCCCGTACTGGCCGCATGCCAAGCCGCTTCCACCCAGCGCCACAGCCAAGCCTGGCAGGAGGGAAGAAAGGCTCGGACCACCGCTGGCAGCTCAGGATAAACCAGTGCTCTCTGGGAAGAAGAGCTTCCCAGATGCCAGGCTGAGGACCCTGCAGGCTGGGGTAGGGAAGCCCAGCTCTCCAGAACTGGGCAGCTGCAGCGTATCTAATCTGACCCCAAGCATTACCCTGCTGATCTATGCCAGCCTCCTGTCGCCCCACCCCCTCCCTCTCACTTCCAGACACCCCACCCCAAACCAAGACAGCCCTCACCAGCACCAGCCCCTCCTGCTGGGCTGTGAAACCTCCTACTTCCCAATGCTGTTCCCCAAGCTGCCCGCCACCCTGCTACATCCAATGGCCCCATGTAACTGGCATTTCCTCCATTAAGTCTCCTGGACGGTCCCACCCCAGCTCCTCTACACCTGAGGTAGGAATTAGGGCTGGGCACACTAGACAACTGCTGGGTGGAATGTGTCCGAAGTCATAAAACTCCCGGCTAACAGGTTGAGCCCTTGATGGTGAATCATGGCACCAGTGCCACAGCGGGCAAGCAGAGTTCTCTCTGCAATGACATCCCGAGTTGTATGAGTTGTTTCTTTTAAACTAAAGCCTCGGTATTCATGCTGAACTGCAGCGTGGTACGTAAGTGTGGTACGTAAGTAGGCTTATCAGTGTGGTTTGGACACTTGGGATCTAAAAGGTTTGCCACCACCAGGAGCAGATGATTCCTAGAGAATAGGACAAGCACAGAACACGGGACCCAAAGTGACCCCAGGGATCCTGACACTGTACATGCAACCAATCAGAAAGCCATATTCTCAGTCCTTCACTAGAATCTGGCACTGCCACAGGACCAGAGATGCTATTTCAATCCCTCATTTGCATGGGCACATCCAATCAAAAGATGTTTTATCTGAGCCTTTATTTACGTGTGGCAGGAAACCAAGGGAGTTTGTCTGTCAGGGTTTATACCTGGCCTGACACCAAGTGAGTTTTTGATAGGACAATCATCCCAACGCCTTATTTACTGGAGGGCCAACCAGTGAAGTTTGGATACAATGTCACCAAGTGTTTGGAAGGAGAAGTGAAGACCCTGGATTCCTGGTACACTGCTGGTAGAAATGCAGAAAGGCACAGTGGAAAATAGTTTGGCAGTTATTTATAAAATTAGAACACGAGTCATGAAATGAGACAATGCCACTCCTGTGTATCTTCCCAAAGGAAATGAAAGCGCATGTGTACAGAAAGCCTAGAACCAAGCCCAGGGACTTTATCCAACACAACACGGCTCAGCAGTAAAACGCCACACACTATAAATACACCCAGTGGCTGTGGAAAGGCAGATGGAGACGACACACTGTGTGACCCCCCGCCCCACAGAAGAAATGCTGGAAGGTGGCCCCTTGAGAGTAGAGCTGCTGTTGCTGGTGATGGGGTGAAGACAGAATGACCACCACAGGCTAAGGGGTTTTCTGGTACCGTGGCAATGTTTTTTATCAGGACCATGGCTGCGTCATGTGACCATTCACCAAAATCCAAGCCATCAGTGTTTGTAAGCCCCACCTCCTTGAAACTGCAATGCCTGCTGTCTCCTGCAGCTCTGCCCGCCTGCCTGGTCACTGCCTCCCTCCTCTGGTGAGCACCTGGGGGACATGATGACACCCCAAGATGAGGCCTCAGGGACCCCCCATGGGCGACCCAAGACAACCCTCCACTCTACAGGTGCCACAGCCTCGCTCCAGACAGCGAATCCCCCCGCAGTTCCCAAGCAGGCTGGAACCCTCTGCAGGCCAGGGTGAGTCCAGGGCAAGACCACAGAAGTTCTGCCCCTGAGAATTCCTTCCCCTAGATGGCTGGGTATGTGCAGACAGGATGTGGAAAGCCCCATAGGGCACCAAATCCAGAGCTGGCTGGATGACTCACTCACTCTCACTCTCGTTTGTATTCTAGATACAACTGGGTCAGAGTGGGGAGAGACTCCATGTTACAGATAATGACTTACACCTGAGTCACGAGGCCCCTCCCGCCCGCCCTGCTCGCTTGGCTCACTGCTGTGGCTACCTGCCCCCAGGCCCGAGGCATCCCTTTCCTGTCCAGCAGCCTCGGGGAGGGAGAAGAGGGCTGGAGGGCTGGGGCGCGGAGCTTACTGGAGAAGCACTCTGGAATGAAGATGAGGCGGAGGGGAGCACTCCCACACAGAAGCAGCAGGGTAGACACTGTCGGGGGGCGGGGGGGCAGGCGTGCGGGGTCACCTGCAGAACAGCCCTGGGTGGCCCCACCCAGAGGCGCCCTCCCCAGACTGAGCTCCACAATCGCAGGCCGGACACAGGTGTGCAGGCCTCCTGAAAACCTCCCACTGGCTCCGAAATCCACCCCTTTACCCGCTGCACTTGCGTCCAGTTCTTCTGGCCCTCCAGGGGGAGTGAGAGTCCCACCACTATCCCTCACTTCCGAGGCACCACCTTCTCCCTGCAGGAGTCCTCCACACCTTCCCAGTCCCTGTCCTGCCCAGAGGGGACTCAGCAAGACACAAGGCCTGCTAGGCAGCTCCCAGACGAGATGGAGGCTCCTGTGGGCTCCCTGGCGCCCATGGAGGAAGCCCCCATCACCTGGGCAAGGCAAGTGCCCCTTCAGGCAGGGCGCTGGGCTCCGAACACCCCAGGCCTAAAGCCCGAAGCGGATCCCACTGGTGCCTTATGCTCCCTGGTGAGCAGGGCCTGACCCAGGTCCCTGCAGAGACACAGCCCCAATGCAGTGACACAGGCCTCTGCAAAACAGGGGAGAGCCACCCGGGCTCCACGCCCAGAACCCACAGCCTCTGTGGTCCAGAGTCCACTTCCCATGACTGTCTCCTCCATGCCATGCTCTACCAATCGCTGCTTGAAATTTCCCCATCTAGACCGTCTTCCCTCCTTCCCAATCCCAATGACCTTAGCAGGCAAAGGCCACCGCCTCCAGGAACCCTTCCCTGATGCTCCCAGCCCCGAGGGCCCACATTCTTTCCTCCTTGCGCCCTCCACCACTTCTGTACTTCACCTATCTTTTTTTTTTTTTTAATTTAGTTTTTCTCCGGTACGGGGAACCAAACTCACGACCTTGCGCTTGCCAGGCAGGCGCTTTTGCCGCTAAGCTAAATCCCCAGCCCCTTCACCTATCTTCTGCACTGCCAAGGCCATGCCAGGCAGGATCTGTGTATCTAATTTGCTACCCCGTGGCCTCTGAAGACCAGTACACGTGTACCCTGTGGTCCTCTGCACACACTGAAGAGCCTGGGGGAATGTGAAACTCTTTGTAAAGTCACAACAGCCCCACAAGCCCATTTTACACAAGGATCCAAGGCTTAGAGACAAAGCAAATGAAATGTGTCTGGGTTCGGCCGTGAACTGGCACCAACACTAGCCTGATTCCTTAACTCAGGCAACTGGAGCTGTAGATGTAGCTGGCGGTGGGACAGTTACTCAGGCCCGCCCCGGAAGACTCCAGTGTAACCCTGAGCACATTCTATCCCTCACTGTGTGCCCCCTTCCCGCTGCCAGCGTTCAGACTCCAGCACCTCCTTGGCCTTCAGTGTCCCCACCTGGAAAGAGGGATGAGGGCATCCACCACAGGACGGGGACAGGGCAATGTGCTGGTTACATCTCACACTGGCTCCAGCATGCCCTTTACTCCCAGGTGAAGGGAACAGGGCGACCACCCACTGCCAGGCCACTGCCAGCACCCAGGGTGCCTGGCCTACCCCAGGAGCTCAGCTGGGCAGTGGGATGGGGCTTCTTTCAAGCTAAGGACCCCAAGAGCAGCAAGCCCTCCTGGAAGAAGTGCTGGACCAGCCACCAAACCTGGGGGCCTGAAGGTCTCCCTGGAGCGAGTGGAGAAGCAGCAGAGGGTCCTTTCCACCCTCCTTTCCATCTGCCCCCGACACGGCTCTGCAAGGGCAGAGGCTGCAGGACAAGCGCCCCCAATCACCCCGCCTCCACACCCAGCCAGAAGCAGGGCTGCAGGAGCCCAGGGTGGGCCTGTGGACTCCAGGGCCTGTGTGCTTCCTGTGTGGACTCCTGGTACCTGCTGTGTGCCTCAATCCTCCCCCTGGAGAATTCCTACCATCCTCCACGGCCATGCTCCAATGTGCCACTTCAGCAGCAGCTGCCCTTCCTACTCCATGGCACAGACGACCATTCCCTTGCATTTCCAAAGCACTCCAGATATTCTCATAAAATCCTCAATCTCATGTGCAAAAACATATTTCTACCAGGGTTTTCAGACCGGGGACCACAAGCAGTCGGGGCTTGGTAACTGTGTTGCGGGATGGTCCTGTACCTTGCAGGGCGTTCGGCAGCCTCCCTGGCTATAGGTACCAGGTAACTGCCAGTACTGTCAGGGCAATGAGAGCTGGGCAAAGCCACCCCCGGAAAAGTACCTATTGAAATTTTGGCCACAGTGCATGAGGCTGGCTCAGCAAGATCCCAGCTTAGGGGGGACACTGGTGTCAGCAGAGGGAACCAAGGGGGACCTGTGCCTCTCGTGAGCCCGTGAGTGGTGTGGATCTCCAAGCAGCCCTGCCTCTGCTCCAACCCTCAGACTAGAACTCTGCCCTGCAGGTCTCAGCTTGTCACGCATCTGCCCACCTTCCAATGGGCCCAGTCATCTCTGGAACAGAGCCAGGCTCTCTACCACCAAGTGGCCTGAAATCCCCCCAGCCCTGCAGCCATCAGCCCAGCTTTGTAGAGCTGGCACCCACTGGTCGTCCCAAACCCACAGTCACCACCCTATGACATAGCACACTGCGCTTCCAGACTGCAGGGCACAGGGTTCCTGGCTCTGGACTTGAATGTGCTCATTTCTGTCCAGATGGTCACCAAGCATGTCACTTCCTACTGCTCCTGAGATCATGCCACTCCTTCCCAGGATAGAACTGCTTGGGTAGGGCCACCCGCTGCACCCTACAGGCGGAAGGCCATCCTAAATGCGCAGCATGGACTCAGCAGGCATGCCATCACAAGGGGACTGACAGGTCCTTCTGCATGTGCTCAGTACCAGATGGTGCCACATGAAACCGGGTATGGGACGATCTGCACCCTGTTCGATGAGACAGGTCCACGGATAGCGCACTGGGACACAATGTCAACTTGCTTGCTTTTCATGTCTCACTCCATGAGATTCAGTACTATAAGCACTGTAGCTTTCTCAATGCACCGTCTTAGTGCTGGAATCTGGGAACTGCGTACTTAAGCAGCCAGCCCCACACATGCCCACACAGTGAGGCCATTGAAAGGCTCACTGGCATGAGCTGGTCTGTACATGGATGTGGACACAGGCAATTTGGAATCATGAACAGGTTCCTTCACGGTCCCAGCCAGCATCCCTCCCCCGTGTCTACAGAGGTCACAGAAGGCAGGGTGACACAGGCTTCAAAGTTAGCAGTGACTCTGGTGATGGGAGCCCACAGGACAAGGTTACCTGCAGGGAAGCACGGCAGTGGCCACAGGGAGCCTTCAATAAACCCCCTGCAGCACAAACTCGCCTTGGCTGGGGTCCCTTCCACGGTGTCAAGCAAGGTGCATGCACTGTTCACGGCAGCCCTCGCTCTGGAGCACTCTCCTGGACTGCCAGTTTCTAAGTGGCCACCATCCTGTGCTTTAACCCTACAAAGAATCTTCTCCCGGTGGAGCAATGAGACGTATTCAGAGATAACACCTCCACCAGGCACACTGGCACATGCCCGTAATCCCACCTGCTCTGCAATTTGAGGCAGGAGCATCACAAGTTGGGGCTTGTCTTTGGACAATTCAGCGAGACTCAGTCGCAAAAATTAAAAAAGTGCACGGGATGTAGCATCTGAGTTGGAGCCTCAATACATACAGAGGAAAGACTCCTTCCCTTCAAGTTTAACAAGTGATATTATCCATCAACAGTAAGGTTAAGATGTTAACGACAGCAGTAGCTCCCAAGGGAAGTTGGTAAGAACATTCTTCAGAAGTGGGTTCCCTGAGCCTGGGATATAGCTCAGCAGTACAAGACCCTGCCCGGCAAGCCAAGGCCTTGAGTTCGATTCCCCACACCAAAAAAAAAAAAAAAAAAAAAGTGGGTTCCCCAAAATTATGCCCAACAATCTAAAAAGCCCACCTTTTCTTCTCCTACAGTAAAACCTCAGGGGCATTTCAACCAGTATCTTCTGGAGGAACTGCAACACGCCAGGTCAATCTACCAACAGGGCCTACGCTGGAGGGCAAAGGGCAAGCCTGGCTTTCTGGAGCTGATGTCCAGTGAGGGATAAACAGCAGACAGGTACCTATGTACAGCTGGCGGCAGGGCCCCACCTGTTTGCTTGCTTCCCATTGATCAGAACTGAGCAACAGAGAAGGTGACAGGTGCAGATGGTACTTAGGGGAAGCCCCACTAGGCCACCTGTGCAAAGAAATTCAGGCAAAAGCAAGCCAGCAGGTTCCAAGAGTGACACGCAGCGTGTCTCAGGGTGATGCATATAGGGCTGGTGAGGCCTGCTTGGCCTCAGAGAAGACCCGGCTTTCACAGAGACGGGAGACTGGGGAGGGTTGCAGCCCACAGGTCTCACAGGTCTGCATGGAACCACTCCAGCTAGGCTCTGAACAGAAAAGACCACAGACAGCAGGGGCAGAAGCAGAACAATCCAGCGGGAGAGAATGGTAGCCTGGGTGGGGTGGGAGCAGAGCCACGCCAATCTGTCAAGATCCTGCACACCCTCTCCATGGACAGCCAAGGGGACTGGTTGAAGAATGAGATGAGCTGTGCCGGGGAAGTGTGGACAGAGCCGAGTCCCAGGGCTTGGCCTCAACAGTCAGACGGAGGTAGTTGCCTTTGTGGGGTAAGTGCACACGGGAACCCCAAGTCTGACTTGGGCATGTGGAGATGCCATGCAGACCTTCCATGACCTGGTGCCAGCCTCCCTTTCTCCCCTCTTCCTCTGCAGGGACCAGGGGCTACAGGGCGCCTTCCCCTGCAGAAATGAAATCAGACCACCTTCGTTGCTACACACTGAAAGTTGAAGGGAATTCACACCTCACTTTTTGCTAGAAAGACTTTGCCCTAATAGAAACCATACCCACCTTTGAGGACCAACACCCCACCCATCAATGTAACTAGTGTCTTGTATCACTGGCACAGGGAGGGATGGATCGGTGGCACCTAATGTTACAATGCAGGAACTTAAACTGGGAGGGAAAGAAAGAAGATGCACCTCAGGGGAGAATGATAAAGGCTGGGAGGAATAAGAATGAAGACCTCAGACCAGCTGGCAGAATGCACTCTGTGAGTCAGCAATCACTTCTTGCAAAGAAGTGCTCCATGCTGGCTGTGAATCTGCCTCCTTCACCTGCCAGAGCAGGGCTCCTCTGGGGAGGAAGAGACCCAGCAGGGGGATGGAACAAGCTGGCAGCACTCCACACAGTTCCCCTAGCAGGAAGTGAATGCAGGTGAATGACACAGGGAAGCCCCGCTGGAGGCAAGAAGAAGAATCTCACTGCTCAGTATCTGTTCACTGCTTTAGGATCTCTTCTATGTCTAACTACTAAGTGAGGACCTGCTAAGGGCAGGTCCCATTTTCACTCTCTCCCAGGACTTTGCCAGCACTGCTATGGAAGCCCTGGGTATTGTTTCCCCAGCGGTAAAGGAAGCTGGATCAGCTTTCTAGGAATCCCTGTGACTAGCCAAGCCTTAGCATCTTCAAGGCAGGTTCACACCCACCCACTCCCTCCTGTGAGGGGCCCAGCAATCCCTGGCGGGGCAGCAAGCCCCAGACAGAGCTCCATCTTCCAGCAAAGGAGCAGCAGGCACTGGCTGGCTAAACTAGCCACAGGGACATAGCCAGCAGCACTTCCCACCAGACAGGAAACGGAGCCCTGCACTCCCTCAGCCAGTTGTGAGGCTCATGGAGCCCAAGTGCCTCAAGCCATAACCCCAGCCGATCTGATGGCAGATGTGAGCTGAAGCTGACACCCCTGGGAGCAAGCACATGTGCACTAGCCCAGCTCCCAGCACGGAAGAAGCCCCCTAAGGGGGCCACCCTGGCACCTGGGGCTTCCACCCCACACCATCCTCAGGCCCAGGAGAGGGAAGCAAGACTCAAGTGGGCCATCCTCCAACTGGGGGAGAGTGACAAGCAGCCCGGGCCATTTAGACTATCATGGAGGAATACCGTGAACCTGAGAGGATTTCCCAAGGAGCTGGCTCTAGAAGCATTTTCAGTCTGGGTACAGAGCGCCTGCAGAGAATGATTCATGAATAAGCTGGTTCCTGTTTTGCTCTGAGGCTCAGATCCACAGCGGCAGATCAGGCTGGAGTCCAAAGCACTGGGTGTGCACAGTGGGAAGCTGAGGGTTCTGATGTGATTATGCATAAGGCCATTCACCAAGTGCTCAATGCACACCAACCACCCTGGCTTTCCCACGCATGCCACTGGCCATGCCTTAGGCCAAAGGGGCAGGAGGAAGTGAGGGCATTATCACCTCACCATCTCAGCATTACAGATGAGGAAACTAAGCTCAGAGAGGACAGGTTACTAGTCACCCCAAGATCAGGCAGCAGCTGCAGGGGCCTGTCTGATCCCTCAAATCTAGAGCCCTTGCTCTCAGAACTAAACTAATCTGAGCCTCAGTTTCCCCACCTCCCCACCCCAAAAAAGGGCCTGGAGAAACAGGATCAGATTTCTAAGTTCCTGAGGTGTGGTCACAGGGCCCAGGGGGCGTGGCACCCCACCCTTGGCCCTCCCCAAGCCCTGGGCAGGGACAGCAGGGGGCGGAAGGGGAAGGAAAAACCTCTACTCCTGAGGTTTGCCGGCTGGCAGGGAGGAGAGCGGGCTAGATGCGACAGGGGTACTCACGTCGATGTTTCTCAGGACAACGCACTTGCCATTGGTGTACAGGAAATTGTTGCCCTTGGGGTCCCCGCCGATAATTTTAGAGACGCCCCTCTCCACCTGGGGGAGGCTGGCAAACACCTTCTCTGCGGAGACAGAAGCGCGCAGGGCGCGTGAGGGGTGCGCTTGCCTCGGCCCCCCAGGCCGGGCAGAGGTCTGGGGAATGCAGGGAGAGGGGCCCCCAAAGGTCACCTGTTGCCGCCCGCGAGGGGCGCCTGCCACTCTCCAGGCGCTCAGGGGCTGCGGCGACTTCCTGGCCGGAGCTCGGGCCAGGCCCTGGGGGACGCCGGGGTCGCGCGGCCCGCCCCCCGACTCGGGGGCCAACTCCCGGGCTGCCCGGGGATCGCC